CTCTACTGTCCGCTCCTTTTCCCCCTGTCGGGTCCCTTTCCTCGTCCCCGTGGACTTGTCGTTCTCCCCTCAGTCGTGCTGTGTCTCCAGAGCCTCGTTGGTCCCGTTACCGTGCGGATGGGCCGTTTCACCTTGTTCTCCACTCTCGTGTTCCACCTCCTCCTGTCCTTCCACGGCCTCCTGAGTCGTCCCTCACTGTGTTTCACGACCCGTTGTCCTTTCGTGTCCCGTGTTTTGTCCGCGTTGGTCACTCACCCGACGGCCCCCCCGTTGTCTGTCTCGGCTCTTGTTACCACTATCACTGGCTTTGCCTCTTCCCACCGCCTTGACTACGCCGCTCACCTGGTGAGTGGCCCTGCTCGTTCTCTGGCTCACGTTCGCGCCCTTGACTTCCACGTTCCCACCGCCTTGACTTCCGCGTCTGGGGTTCTCTGGCTCACGTTCGCGCCCCTGGCACGAACAAGTTGTCTCCGCGCACTCGTGCCTGCATCTTTCTTGGCTTCCCTTTGGACGCCGCCGGCTAGGTGTTCTACGACCCACTCACCTACGAGTTCTTCAGTTCCTAGGACGTCACGTTTGACGAGTCTGTCTGTTACTACAGGAGTCGCCCCCACTGAGGTACTGAGGTCTTTCCCCCCTCGCTGTTCCTCACCCTTGAGCCCCCCCCAGTCGCCCCGGTAGCCCCCCCCCCCCTTCGCGTCCTGCCTCGTCAGGTGTGTCGCACGTCACTCCGCAGTCGTCCCCCCCGCAGCGTCCAGTCCCTGTCGTGTCTGGGGGTGTGGGAGGTGCAGTTGCGTAGGGTGAGGGTGCCAGGGCTGCTGGAGCTGGTGGTGTCGGTTCTGGGGGTGCAGGGGGTGTGGGCGTGGAGGTCACTCCCGTGGAGGACACGGCAGCCTCGACTAGGCGGCCTCGCCCCACGTCACCCCCTGGCTTCCCGTCCGTCCCCCAGTTCCCTCCTCGTTCTTCTCTGCAGCCGCTTGCTACAGAGCCTGGGGTTGTTCCTGCGGGAGGTACGGGAGGCACCGGGGGTGTCGGTGGTGGAGGTGCTAGTTCTGGGGGTGCTGGAGCTGGAGGCATTGGCACTGTGGCGCCTACACCGCGCACTGTACGTTTCCTGACCCGTGAGCAGCGTCTCCTCCGGTTGGAGAGGGAGGAGCGTGAGCGGTTTGAGAGGGCACGGCAGCAGCAGCAGCAGCAGCAGCAGCCGGAGCAGTCTCAATCGCAGTTGCAGGAGAGCGTAGAGGAGGAGTCATCGCCGCAGCAGGAGAGGGTAGCGCAGGAGTCCCGGTCGCAGCAGGAGTTGTAGTTGCAATCGCAGTAGGAGAGAGTAGAGGAGGAGTCACGAGTGCAGCAGCAGGTGCAGTTGCAGTCGCAGCAGGAGAGAGTAGAGGAGGAGTCACCGCCGCAGCAGGAGAGGGTAGAGCAGGCATCCCACCCGCAGCAGCAGGTGCAGTTGCAGACACAGCAGGAGAGAGTAGAGGAGGATTCACGGCTGCAGCAGGAGACGGTAGCGCAGGAGTCCCGGTCGCAGCAAGAGGTGCAGCTACAGCAGCAGCAAGAGAGGGCAGAGGAGGAGCCACAGGAGCAGCAGCAGGGGCAGGTGCCGTCGCAGCGGACGCCAAGGGAGGCGGAACAGCAGCGACTGCGCGACTTGCCCGACCATGCACCTGCACGCTTGGTTCGTGGTCCTCTACTGTCCGCTCCTTTTCCCCCTGTCGGGTCCCTTTCCTCGTCCCCGTGGACTTGTCGTTCTCCCCTCAGTCGTGCTGTGTCTTCAGAGCCTCGTTGGTCCCGTTACCGTGCGGAGGGGCCGTTTCACCTTGTTCTCCACTCTCGTGTTCCACCTCCTCCTGTCCTTCCACGGCCTCCTGAGTCGTCCCTCACTGTGTTTCACGACCCGTTGTCCTTTCGTGTCCCGTGTTTTGTCCGTGTTGGTCACTCACCCGACGGCCCCCCTGTTGTCAGTCTCGGCTCTTATTACCACTATCACTGGCTTTGCCTCTTCCCACCGCCTTGACTACGCCGCTCACCTGGTGAGTGGCCCTGCTCGTTCTCCGTCCTCTGGGGGTGCTCCTGTCTTTCCCCTGGAGGTCCTCGAGGACAAGCAGTTCGAGCTTGGTTTCCTTGCGGCCGCTGTTCCTCATCTCTGCGCCATGCTGCTTGCCCCTGAGGGGGATCCAGACGCCCTTGACATCCCGATCCCTCGCACTCACGCCGTGGCAGTCTCGGGACACAGTGCTTTGTACTGGATAGCAGCTGAGGAGGAAGAGATGGCATCTTATAGGTCCATAGGCACCTACGTCGACGCCGTCCCACCACCTGGGGCGAACGTCGCCAGTGGCATGTGGCTCTACAAGGTGAAGCGGCCGCCTGGATCACCACCGGTGTTCAAGGAGCGCTATGTGGCGAGAGGCTTCAGTCAGTGCGAGGGGGTAGACTTCTTCCAGACCTTCACTCCCACCTTAAAGATGACCACTCTTCGGGTGTTGCTGCATATAGCAGCTCAACGCGACTACAAGTTGCACTCCTTGGACTTCTTCACAACGTTCCTACAGGGGAGCCTGCACAAGCAGATCTCGCTGCGTCGTCCGCCTGGCTTCACTGGCTCTTACCCTCCTGGGACCCAGTGGCAGCTGCGTCGACCGGTCTACGGCCTGCGCCCGGCTCCCCGCGAGTGGCACGACACGCTACGTACAACTCTTCCAGCGCTCGACTTCTTTCTGTCGTCTGCCGACTCGTCGTTGTTCGTCCGCCGTGGCTCGACCCCGTTCTTTGTTCTGGTCTACGTTGACTACCTGGTCTTCGCCACTCCCGACCGACGCGCACTGGCTTCCGTGAAGGAGGAACTGCAGAGGAGACACACTTGCACTGACCTTGGTGAGCTAAAGCGCTACCTTGGCCTGCAGATCACCAGGGACACGGCAACTCGCACCATTACGCTGACGCAGTCGCATACGGTCGAGCAGATCCTCACGCGGTTTCTCTTCCCGTTCTCCAAGGTACAGCCCACCCCTCTTGCTGTGGATCATGGGCTCACGGCTCCACCTTCGGACGAGCCATTTGGGTCCAGTGGTCCATATCCTGAGCTGGTGGGTTGTCTCATGTACCTGATGACCTGTAATCGCCCAGACCTAGCTTACCCTCTTAGCATCCTTGCGCACTTTGTTGCGCCTGGGAGACACCGACCTTCCCACTGGTACGCTGCTAAGAGGGTGGCAAAATATGTGGCGAGTACACTAGGCATGGGACTTGTCCTTGGAGGGAAGCAGCCAGTTACACTTATAGGTTTCTCGGACTCGTCGTGGGCCGACGACGCAGAGTCGCTGCGGTCTACACAGGGTAAGTGCTTCAGCCTTAGGACCGGAGCTGTTTCCTGGAGGTCGACTCGTGCGTCATCCGCCTCTAGTTCCAGCTGTGAGGCAGAGGTGTACGCTGCGGCCATGGCCACCCAGGAGCTTCGTTGGCTGTCTTTCCTCCTCACCGACCTCGTTGAGCAGCCTCGCTCTCCCCCAGTCTTGTTCGCTGACAACAGGTCTGCTATCCTGTTGTGCGAGGAGCCCCGACTGGTTGGGAAGGTGAAGCACATCCAGCTTCGTTACTTCTTTCTGCGAGAGTTGCAGCAGCGTGGCCATGCACTCGTGCGACGTGTGGTCTTTGAGGCCAACACTGCAGATGTCTTCACCAAGGCGTTGCCGCCTTGTGACCACCAGCGTTTCTGCACCCAGCTTGGCCTTGTGTCTACATGCCCTCACTTGCTTGCGTAGAGATGCTTTGTCTTGTACTATTGCATCTCACTATATATCCTATCTGTGCTTGTGGACAGACCTTGTGGCCCCTTTCTTCTATAGAGTTGCTTGTCATGCATGTCTTGTACTCTTGCATCTCTTATATATGCTATATCATTGCATGTGGACTGGCCTTGTGGCCCCTTGCTTGTTCTCGGGCTGTTTGGTGATCTTGAGATCCACCCCGAGCGTTGCCTTGTTCTTGTGAATTGGTCTTGTGACCGTTGCTTGTTCTTGCTGACTGGTCCTGTGACCATTGCTCTTGCTTTCTACAGGACTACCGTCACCTAGACTATGGGGGTGTGTCAAACTATAATTATTATAGTTTGTTAGTTTAGTCTAGGTGTTACACTGAGTTATGCTGTAGAGGGTATAAACCCCTTAGGGTTTGCTATATGCTCCTTTGTACTGCTTGTTTCCATTCATTCATCATTTCGTTACCTCTTTGATAGTCCCTCCGGTAGGTCATCCGGAAAAATCCCGCTGTACTACTTCAGTAGTGCTGCCAAGTCATCTGGTACGTCGGTGAGCAGCTTCTGTAAATCACTCGGTTTGTCTGCTGCCTTAGCTTCCCGAATGTCAACCGCATACACGTCAGCTCCTGCCGCTACGGCGCGTTTCATCGTGATCGCGTTGACACGCACCGACGAAGACGCAGGCGAGCTCCAGCGAGGTAAGGCGATGTTGTTGCCGTTCATTCGCACGGTGCAATCACCCGTTGTCCAGTCGATTTGCGGATTGTGTCGTCGCAGCCAATCACGACCGGATAAAATGTCGGTCCCGTCGAGGGTCGTTGCGAGCATTTCCTGGGTAACGGTGAAGTTACCCCCGCATCGGATCCGAACTCGGTCCACACGTTCCAAGTGCGGGGCCTCTGACGCCAAGTGCGTAGCCTCTGATGCGCGGCGATCGAAGCCGCGATTGGCTCGACGACACCTAATCCCTCGCGCACCCACCAAATCTCCCTCCACTCACCCTTTCCTGTGGCTCGTGTTCATGATGGTGGCGGGCAGCTGGTGGGCACACACCAGCCTCTCACCTCACCCCCTGTTTTCCTGCATCCCCATCACCTCTCACACCCACCCACCCCCTCCCCACCCACCCTTTCGTGTGGCTCGTGTTCATGATGGTGGCGTGCAGCTGGTGGGCAGGGGGGTTGTGTAGGGGCGCAAAGGAAGGGGGGGAATGAGGGAATTTGGGGAGGGGAAGAGAAGGTCAAGCGTGGGAGGGGGAGAAGAACAGGAAGAGAGAGGAGAAGAGGGGTGGGAGGGGAAGTGGGATGGCAAGAATAAAAGAGAGCAGAGGCTGAGAGAGCGAGACAAGAACAGGATTACTTTGCTCTAGTGACGTACTTCTGACATGCTGACCACCTCAGTTGAGAGCTCCCAAATCACCAATGAGAGCTCTCAATGACGTGGATTAAATTTCAAGACGTCTCAAGAGTCGGCTGCTTTTCAGAATGACCCAAATTACTGATATATTACACCCATCCACATGCTGCTACATCCTCACATCACTTGTTAGCCCAGCTCACCTTGAGAGGCTGGCGGCAATCCCTAGAAGTGACGAGCCCTGCCTCCCTACACGCCTGCCTCAGAAACTCTGGAGGAGAGGGGAAAAAGAGATGGGGGTGATGGGGAAGGTGGAAATGATCATGCAATTGCACGTGCAGGCAGGACTGCCTCTGACTCTGACACACTGGCCCTGCCGCATGACATGGTGATGCAAGCATAGCAGGGCAATGTAATCACAGCAGGACAACGCAAGCAGGTTATGCTAACGCAAGCATGGCATGGTAACACAAGCATGACATGGTAGCGCAAGCATGGCATGGTAACACAAGCATGACATGGTAGCGCAAGCATGGCATGGTAACGCAAGCATGACATGGTAACACAAGCATGACATGGTAGCGCAAGCATGGCATGGTAACACAAGCATGACATGGTAACAAGAGCATGACATGGTAGCGCAAGCATGGCATGGTAACGCAAGCATGGCATGATAACGCAAGCATGGCATGGTAACGCAAGCATGGCATAGTAACGCAAGCATGACATGGTAACGCAAGCATGGCATGGTAACGCAAGCATGGCATGGTAACGCAAGCATGGCATGGTAACGCAAGCATGGCATGGTAACGCAAGCATGGCATGGTAACGCAAGCATGACATGGTAACGCAAGCATGGCATGGTAACGCAAGCATGGCATGGTAACGCAAGCATGGCATGGCCTGTCGAGAGCACTCACCACAGACAGCAGAAAGCCGGTTCCCCCCATCCACCTCGTGCATGTCAGCATACAGCACATGCGCCTTGGACGGATGGCCCCCTCATGCACCTCTGCACGAGTTGGGTGTCAGGAGTAAGGTCAAGGGTGTGAGGAGAGGAATGGGTTGGGATGCACATGTGCCTTGCATGCCACAGCTCCCACCCCATCCGTCCATGTGGCAAGACGAGAGGCTCACCAGTCAGCACAGAGCACGAGACCCCATCGAAGACTTTCTCGAGCCTCATAATGCAGCAAGAGGCTGAGCAAGAAGGCAGAGAGCATGAGAGTTACATGGCAAACAACTCACAAGGCCAACGCGGCGAATGACAAGAGGCGCATTGCCCAGCACTTCTTGCACTCTCGGCATGGCCGCCTGGGAAAGGACATGAGGGGCAGGCAGGCATAGTGAGAAGGTGCAAGAGGACATGGAGTGAGCACATGTCATGTTAGATGTTCATGTGATGTTAGATGTTCATGTGATGTTAGATGTTCATGTCATGTTAGATGTTCATGTCATGTTAGATGTTCATGTCATGTTAGATGTTCATATGATGTTAGATGTTCATGTGATGTTAGATGTTCATGTGATGTTAGATGTTAATGTGATGTTAGATGTTCATGTCATGTTAGATGTTCATGTCATGTTAGATGTTCATGTGATGTTAGATGTTCATGTCATGTTAGATGTTCATGTCATGCTAGATGTTCATGTCATGCTAGATGTTCATGTCATGCTAAATGTTCATGTCATGCTAGATGTTCATCACTCATGCGATGAGTCGAGAGGGCTGGTCGTACTATGACATGCTTGGCAAGACATTCGTGTCAAAAAACAGAAACTAGATATGCGTGGGATGTGATGTGGATCTAAATTGGGACATCCAACTTAGATGTGGATGCGGTGGCATGCGTGGTGGTGGGTCAAGGGGTACTGGCACAGGGTGTTTTTTAGAATTGTCAAAAACACCCTGCAACAGAAATGACTCGCTGCTCCTCACTGCTGTGCTGACCTGCAGGGCGTCAGCGGCTGCTTGCACGCGGAGGGGCGACCAGAGCTTGAGCATGTGCACGGTGAGGTGGAAGGTGGATGGATTGATGAAGATGGACGGGTGCACACCCCCTGGTGGGCGTGGGGTGGGGGTTGGGGGGAGAAATGGGGGGGAGGAGGGTGGATCGGGGGGGTGGTGATGGGGGGAAGGGTGTGGGGTGGCTGGGCGGATGAAGATGGACGGGTGAATGCTACCTAGTGGGACGTGCCGTGGGGTGGGTGTGGTGTGGGTGAGACATCAATGGTGCGGGACAGCAGGAGGGATTAGGGTTGAAGTCGACTCAACAGAAGCGATTAGAGTAGGTTGATGACTGCATGCATGCTAGTGAATGCACAGCTTTTGAGTCGACTCAAAAGCATGCTGGTGAACGCACACCAGGCCGCGCATGGCCTGGCCTGGCATCCGGTATACAATCAGCTAAGCCTCCCTCGAGGGCAATTCGGTGTTGGAAAAGGTCGACGGAGTATCGCATGGAATGATGGAAGACTCACAACAGACACACCGGTCACTCATTCACTCACACAATCAATCAATCATTCACTCACTCACTCATTCACCCACTCATCATACTTGTCCTTCACTCCCTTCCCTCTCTGACCGCCTGACTGCTGCTCCCACGGCTTCTCCTCTCCCGTCTCCCCCTATTGTCCTGCACTTGCCACCCTCTCTCCCTCACCACCCTCCCCCCCTTCTGCACACATAGAAGACCCGCCACCAGCGGTTGTAGCAGCAGCGGCATCACCAACTGCTGCACCAACCGCTGCAGTAAAAGGATCGGCAGCAGCAGCAGCAGCAGCGGCATCGTCATAGCGCACTCTCTTCCCTCCTACTCTCACGCTTCCTGCTCTGCCCTCCCCTCCTCGCCTCCACTCTCATCTGCCCTCCCTTCCACTTCTACCTCTTCCTCCCCACAGTCTTCTTTCCATTCCCTCCCCGCAACTGCTGCTGCACAATCATCCTTCATACCTTCTCCCTCCACCTCTCCCTCTCCCTCCCCCTTCCTTTCTGTCATACCAGCAGCATTACCAGCACCAGCAACGGCAGCAACACAACCATGACCAGCAGCAGCAGAAGTGTTACAGCAGCACCAACACCAGCACCAGCAGAGATATCAGCAGCAGCATCAGCCGCCGCTGTGAGGTGCTCGTGCGTCAATGGGAAGCCCACAGAGTGCAGCACGGAGGAGCGGAAGTCGTACAGGCGAGCCACCAGAGGGTGGTGGGAGGCAAGCGGGAGGGAGAGGAAGTGCGAGTAGCCGACCGCAGGGCTGTCGACGGCCTGCTGGTGGGGAGAGAAAGGGGGAAAAGACGGGTGAGAGAGGCGGTGAGAGAGGCAGTGAGAGAGGTGGTGAGAGAGGGGCTTGTCTGCAGGGAGAGAGAGGAAGTAAGAGTAGCTGACTGCAGGGCTATCAATGACCTACGAGGGGGCCGGAGACACGGGCGGGTGAGGCGGTGGGATGAGATGCTGTGAGAAGTGGGTTGATTATGGTGCACGGACCACGAGGGGAGCGTGCGGGGAAGTGCTTAGAAGACGTCAGAGGAGCTGCCTATTGGCTGGTGTAGGAATGAGCAGGGGAACTTTTGGGACGTCTCAAAACTCGGAGGTTACACGGGGAACGAGCGGAGAATGTGTTTTCCGGCCGACAGCAAGTGCTACCTAGTGGCTGGCATGGAGAAGAGAGAGAGGGGAGGTTGTGGTTAAGGAAGGATAGCAACTTGATGCAAATTGTGGAACTGAGTGGATGTGACAGTGACTGTACGTGCATTTGCTAGCGGAGCATTCTCAGATGTGCACTGCTGAGTTATCACAGGACATGCGCAATCGCCTGAATTCATCTGAGCAATTATTGGGTCTCGCGCCGCACCTTTTACTTTGAACCATTACCTCAGGCTCAGCCCACCTAGCCTACCAACTACACCCACCAGGCGTATCATCTGCCCTATCAAGTGCGCCCACCTGTGCGAGCACTGTAGCAAAAATGTCCAATCCTGTTGTGGCTGCTTCCTCGCTTGCACCCGATATCTCTGAGGAATAAGGAGCAACGGGGAAAAGGCCGGAACAAGAGGAGATGTCAAGTGACACTTGCACCAACAGCGAGGCGAGTGTTGTTCGCCTTGCATTTGCCTAACTTGTTTAAGTACCGAGACGAGGCAAGAAAGACCACCCAATGCAAACTTATGTGTGGACAGGATGACATCCCAACGACGTCAGAAGGCTAGTCAGTTGGGACCTCAAACGATCCTAGTTTGGTGTTTGGCGCTGCTCTTCAAGAGCCATCACCTTGACGGCTCTGCCTCTTGGCTGGATACTTCAGTAGCATGGCCCATGCTAGCATGGTGGCACGGTGGTATGGTGGCACGGTGGCAGTGGTACGGTGGCAGTGGCACGGTGGCAGTGTCACGGTGGCAGTGGCATGGTGGCAGTGGCACGGTGGCATTGGCGTGGTGGCATTGGCATGGTGGCATTGGCATGGTGGCATTGGCATGGCGGCATTGGCATGGTGGCATTGGCATGGTGGCATTGGCATGGTGGCATTGGCATGGTGGCATTGGCATGGTGGCATGGTGGTATGTGGGAAACACAGGATGCTAAGTCATGCATCGATCATAGCATGGCATGGCAAGGCATGAGCCTGGCATGGTGGCATGGTGGTATGTGGGAAACACAGGATGCTAAGTCATGCATCGACCATAGCATGGCATGGCAAGGCATGAGCCTGGCATGGCATAGCATGGAAAGGCATAGCATGGAAAGGCATATCATGGAAAGGCATAGCATGGAAAGGCATAGCATGGAAAGGCATAACATGGAAAGGCATAGCATGGACAGGCATGTCATAGGATGGCATGGCATGGCATGGCATGGCAGTACCAAAGACAGCATGAGGTTGAGTCCTCTTGTTGAAGTGTGCAGGTGCTTTCAGCTTGCCTTATGCTGCTCAAGCTGCTGCTCAGTGAAAAACAGAGCAGTGAGAGGACGGGGTGAGTGCGTGGAGTGAGTGTGGAGTGAGTGTGGAGTGAGTGTGGGGTGAGTGTGGAGTGAGTGCGTAAAGTGAGTGTGCTGCACCCCCTCGGCTCCCTGCTGCGCCTTGCATGGCCTGCACCTGCGGTTGCACCTGCGGTTGCAGCTAAGTCAGCATCTCCTTGAACCCTGTAGTACCAGCTGCTGCACTTGCCCCGGCTGTAGCTAAAACTGCCTATCCCCCCTGCTGCTGCTGCTGCTGCTGCTGCTGCTGCTGTGGTGGCATGGCACCTGCTGCGGCCTCTGCCCTTCTGTCTGCCCCTGCCCCCCTACCCTTGCACCTGCGCCTGTCTTCCCCTAGCCCCGCATGGAGCCCTGCAAGCCCATCCCCAGCCCCATACCCAGCCAATGAGGTTCCTCCCTTCTTCCTCCTGCACCCCCACCTTCTCCTGCCCCTGCACCAACCCCACTCACTCCACCACTACCACCGCCGCCACCCGATCCGCCACCAGCATCAGCAGCAGCGGCACTGCCAGCTCCGTTCAATAAATAACCGCACTTCAACCAAAGAAGGATCAGGAGTACAATAGTAACACACTAACAAAACTCAAAGAAACCGCTCCAGCACTTCAATTCTCTGCACTTCCCCAGCTGCCCTTCACTTCAATCCTCTGCACTTTCCCAGCTGTCCTTCAATTCAACTACACTTTGCCTCTCCATCACCGACTGAGGCAGCACCTCTAGATGCGAGCATCCTGAGGAGATTAACTCTACAACGGTCGGGAGCTAGACTAAGGGATAGGCACGAGTTGTGTGAGTGTGATCGTAGCTTCTCTACGTTCTCTAGCATTTGTGCATATACAGGGCAAAACTGCAAGAGTTTCACTAGCAAAGTTGAGAATACATAATGATTGATACAACAAAGGCAAGAATGACTACATCAGGCACCTAGCAACTCTGCAGCTAGCCTGGTCGACCGCCAGCACAGCATGGTCGACTGCCTGCCAGCGTTGCGTAGAGGAGCCGCGCCAGCACTGCAGAAACGCGGCCTGCCAACACAGCAGGTCGACGGCGTGCCAACGCTGCAGAAGAGCGGCTGTCCAGCATTCCACCCGTAGAAGACAGCAGTGCGCACGTCCGCAGGTGCGTGCAGACGATTGGCTCGACTTGCACCGTTGTGCATCCGTCGGCCCTGGTCTGCGCCTCACGAGCCACATCGACTTTGAGATACCAGCCCGAAGTCGCCTTCGTCACAACGACCTCGACGACGTTTGCGTGCCTCCGCAGAACTCGCCGAGCAAGTTATCTGGTCGACCTGGTCGACCACCCAGTGCTCAGGTCGACGCCTCCCTCGTCGACCACAGCTCCCGTAGAGGAACACCCTGGTCGATGGACCCCTCTGTCGACCAGCACTGTCAGCTTCTCCTCCTAGTCGACGGCCCGTCCGTCAATCGGCTCGGTCAGTTGCAGCCGTCGAGCTCCCCTGGTCGACGGCTTCAGCCCCGCGACAGTCCAGTGCAGGTCGACGACCACCACGTCGACCTGCCCCGCAGAAGAAGGCCGTCGAGCTCCCCTAGTCAACGGCAACACCGCAGCGATCCTCTGCAACTCGACGAAGCCCGTCGAGCAGCTCCTTCACTGCGTACGGTCGGCTGCTTCTCCCGTGCATCCGACCAGGACGTCGACGTCGCCCAAGCGAGGGCGGGGCCAACACTCCATTCCCGTTAACACTCCCCTGCCGCGCTCACCCTTGGGCTCCCCAGCCCACACGGCAGTACTCCACGGAGAAAACTCGTCCTTGGCGTGCACCCCACACACAGCACGTCGCCACCGCACCAGCCGTGCAGAAGGGCACGGCTCATAGTGCTGCACATCATCGTCCCCGTCGCCGACGTTAATCAGGCGCACTTGGCCGATCGCGACGAAGCACCGGTTGAAGGCCGGAAAGTGCAGCGCCTTCGTCAGGAAGTCGGCCGGCTGCTCGGTGGTCGGGATGTACTTCAGCACGAACTTCCCGCACCTCACCATGTCTTGCAGCCAGGCGTAGCGTCGCTCCATGTGCTTGAGGTTGCCCTGCAGCCCCAAGACCTCGGCGACCGTGATTGCCGACTTGTTGTCCACCCGAAGGACAGTCAGCTTCCCAGCGTCAAGCTTCTGGAACTCGGCAAGGAGGAGGCGGTGTCGGCGTCCCTCCTTGCCAGCATCTGTGGCCGCCACGTACTCCGACTCGGTCGACGACAATGTCGCGCACTTGATGCGCGAGCTCGACCACGAGACAGCGGCCCCTCTGTAGACGAACACGTAGCCACACGTGCTCGTCCGGTTCTGCTTGTCGCCAGCGTCGTCGGCGTCCACGTAGCCGACCAGCTTCAGCGACTCTGGTCCACCGCCGAACTCCAGGGTGGTGTCGCGGGTGTCGGCGAGGTAGGCGAGATAGCGGTCGACCTCGCGCCAGTGTTGGTCGCTCCTCACCGTGAGGCCGCTCCCTAGCTTGCTGCAGGCGAAGGCGATGTCCGGCCTCGTCGTCGTCGCGAACTGCAGCGAGCCGACCTTCTGCCGGTACTCCTCCTCCTCGCGCTCCTGCGCCTCCTCGTCGTCGAATGTCTGCTTGGCGTAGGCATCGACCAAGACCGGCGTCTTCAGGATCCGACCGCCCTGCTCCTCGTCGATGAAGCGCCTACGCAGATTGTTGGCGTAGCCCTGCTGGTGTAGCCACATCTTCCTTGCCAGCCTGTCGCGCACGATCTCCAGCCCGCGGTACTTGACGACCGGCGAGATCTCACGCAGCTCGAAGGCGGCCTCCAGCAGCTCCTTCAGCATCGCGGTGCTGCTGCTGGCGGCGAGTAGATCGTCGACATAGATCAGCACCCAGCAGGTCACTCCGTCGTCGCCGACCTTGAAGTAGAGCGCCGTGTCGACCTGGCTCTTCTTCCAGCCAGCGCCCAGCAGCACGTCGTCGAGAGCCCTGTACCACAGCAGCGGCAACTGCTTCAGCCCGTAGAGGCTCTTCAGCAGCTTGCACGCCCGGCCGGTCCCGTCGTCGAAGTAGTCCAGCTGGTACATGTACAGAACCCGGTCGAGCTTACTCTGCAGGAAAGCGTTCTTCATGTGGAGCTGCATCAGGTTAAGGTCGAGGACGGCGAAGATGCTGAGGAATATCCTCAACGTGACGTAGCTGCTCACTGGCGAGTACGTCTCGTCGTAGTCGGCGCCGTAGACCTGCGTGAAGCCCTTCACGACCAGCCTCGCCTTCTCGCGCTCGACGGTGTCGTCGATGCGGTATTTGGTCGTCAGCACCCACCGGTTCTTCATGATGTTCACCCCACGTGGGCGTTCGACCAGCTCCCATGTGCCCATGCCGATGAGGCTGCGGATCTCCTCTTCCATGGCGGCCTTCACCGCCTCGCCCTTCCAGCTCGCCAGCACCTCCTTCACCGTCATCGTCGCGATGTCCCAGCGGTGCTCGGGGTCAGCGTGGACGTCGGGGTCAAGCTCGGGCAGGTCAGCATCCGTCTCTGCGTCGTCGTACAGCAAGTCATCATCGGCATCGTCGTACGCCGTGGTGAAGGCAGCCGGTGGCAGACAGGCGTGGTAGCTCAGCCACTCTAGTTGCCTCCGAGTTCGACCTGAGCATCGCAGCTCTGGCTCTATCGGGACTTCCACCACGTCGCTGTTGGTGGACTCTTCTCCTGCCGACAGCTCCCCTTCCTCGTCGCCATTCTCGTCGTCGACCAGCTGCTTTGCCAGCGTTGGCCCTTCGCCCGGCTGCTCCCCTCTCGTCGACCCTCCTGTCGACTTCCCCGGCTGCTGCTCCCCTGTCGACTGGACTTCTGCTGCTGCCTCCTTCTGCACCAGCTCCCCGGTCTGCTGCTTCCCTGTCGACGGCTGCACATCCTCGTCGACGAGCTTGGCGTCTCGTCGGCCGCTGGCGATGCCACTGGCCGGTGCCACAGGCGACGCCTCAAGGCTCCCCTCATCGTTGGTGGCCGACACTAGTGTCAACGCAGGCCGATCTGCGATGGGGTGGGAGGAGCAAGAACAAGTGGAGGAGGGAGGACTTCCTCAACGTCCTCATCAGCAGGCTCGTCGACCTTGGCGAGCAGCAGGAACGTCGCCGTCGAGGTGTCCGTCGGCGGGTGTGCATGCGTCCGCCCCGACGTCGACGTCCGCCCCGACGCCGGCCTTCCACACCTCCAGCGACAGCGTCTCGTAGAAGATTACCTCGACCGTCGTGACCACCTTGTTGTCAGTCAAGTCCAGCACCTCCCAGCCCTTGCTCTCCTGCGATACGCCCCGGTGAAGTCCCCAGCAAGCCTTCGGCGCCGACTTCCCACCGCGCTGTTGCTCGGGGACCATAAACTGCACCATGCAGCCCCACACCCTCGCGAGGGTGAGGTCGGGCTTCTTCTCGGTCAGCAGCTGGTACGGCGTTGTCCCCGGCGGCGTCGTCGACCGCTCTAAACAGTTGCCACCCAG